GTGATGTGAAAAACTTAGTGTGACTTCAGAACGGGGTGAAAATAGCTATTTCCTCTATATATATATGTACCATTAGAATAGCTTGATCCCTAAGAAACTAAGATAATAAGGGTACAATCGACAATATACAAACTAAATACTAATTACATCAACAGACATGAATTGACATACACAAATATCCAGGCCAGGAGTTTAGTGAGTCATCAGATACAAGAGTTCTGAGACGTGTTTTGTACGAGTTTGTTAAGAGAAGTAATGAGAAAATCGAGTGCACAACAACCGGGCCTCATTCCTCTGTTTGCTCTGTAACTTTACAAATATATTTTTCCTAATAAATGGAATGAGTTGCCGGAGACATATAAACTGTTCAAATCCTAATGGAAACACAACGAACAGTCACCATTAAGCTATAAGGCCTTGACTTTTACATAAAGAGAATCAATGGTAGTTCCCCACTTACCCCTTAGGTGACTCGAACTCGTGACCTACGAAAAAAAAAAACGATAAGGCCTTGAGGCAAAAGTTTGGCTCCGAATTCGCAACATGGGAGGCAACATACGCAATGATCTATTTGAGGAAGACGAAAAAGACATGTAGATGATAAAAAAAAATAAAATAAAAAAAAAATCATTAAAATGCATAATTCTCAAAATAAACAAATGTTTATAGAGTTACATGTCAACAAAGTCCAGAGTAACCGATTTCTTCACACTTGATCATAATATAATCTTATCCTCTCCAAATCCTGCAGATACATCCAAACCAATCAATCCAAAACCTCTCATAACAAATCATTCCAATTCATACACTAGAGCCCCTCCTCCTGAGGATACCTGTCCACGCAGTCGAGCCATGGGTTCCTATCCGGCCTGCGGACCCTACGCAGCGACTTCCAGACGATGCTGTTGCACTTAAATCCCGACCCAAAGGCGAGCTGCCAGACGCGGTCCCCGCGCTCGACTCGTTCCTTGGCCTCAAGATAAGCCAGCTCGTACCATATGCTGCTGCTTGAGGTGTTGCCGAACCTGTGGAGTGTGGCTCGTGAGGCCTCGAGGTTTTTGTCGCTGAGCTTGAGGTTGCGCTGGAGCTCGTCGAGGGCTGTCTTGCTGGCAGCATGCAAGCAGAAGTGCTC